TCCCACAAAGAAAACTCCAGACCCAGATTGCTTTACTGGTGAATTCTAAAAAACACTTAAGGAAGAAATAACACCAACTTTACATAAAACATTTCAGAAAACAGGAGGAAGGAATCCTTCCCATCTCATGTTACAGATCTAGAATTAGTCATTACAGAAATTTTGGGGAAAACTGTATTACCAAAGAAACTATGATCCTGGTTTGCCAAAATCTGTGACCATTGACTCCTAGAATAATCCCTACAAACGCTAGTAAGCATCCGACCCCACAGAAAAAGCTGTGCAGACTCCAAGTAGGGTATGCTCTTCAGTGCCCTCCTCAGATGTGGACATGATGCATAACACAGGAGGAACATCCCAGAGGACAGAGCCAGGGGCTGTCAAAACAAGGAACTTCTTCTCCTGCCAGGGAAGGGGTCTTCACTGTTCATGCTCAATAGGATTTGGAAATTGCCATAGACCAGAGACTGCTATATGTTTCCCTTGTTACCTTTTCTGAATAGCAGTTTTCATTGTATTTATCTTTTTCTTACTCTCTCATTGTATGTTTAGGACACATAAAATATCTTTGTTTATAAATCACTGAATTTGTAAACTATAGTTCATGGATTATGTTGGGGGGACAAATAATATATCTCCATTTTTAATGCACCAGACCACAAGGATCTACATCTGGACCTTTTGGAAGAAACAGCATATAACTCAGAGAATCTAAACTTTGACCTGGATGCTGCAACTTTTACAAATGGTGTCCCTCAGGGATAAGATGGGTGTGTTCCATATATGGGAAAAAGAGGGTGCATAGATATATAAATGGCCAAGGGAGTGGAGTGTAGCAGAAACTGCTAATTGCGTCCCCCCCCCCCCCCAATAAATATCGCTTGTTCTCCTATAATTTTAGAATCCTTGTGGTTTTTTTTTTTTTTTTTTTGAGGAAGATTATCCCTGAGCTAACTACCGCCAATCCTCCTCTTTTTGCTGAGGAAGACTGGCCCTGAGCTAACATCCATGCCCATCTTCCTCTACTTTATATGTGGGACGCCTACCACAGCATGGCATTTGCCAAGCGGTGTCATGTCCACAACAGGGATCTGAACCGGCGAACCCTGGGCCGCAGAAAAGCGGAACGTGCGAACTTAACCACTGTGCCACCAGGCCAGCCCCAGAATCCCTGATTTTCAATTGGCCATTTAGCCCTCTAAAATAAATATATTTTTCAATCTCCCTTGCAGCTAGTGGCATGTGGCAGCTTCCAGGTATTTCCCTTAAGAGACTGCTGGCACAAGACATTTGATCTTCTTACTCAGCCCATCCTTATCCAACTGCTGGCTAAAAATCAGAAGCACTTGTTAGAGCAGTCATATTGGATCATAAAGTAACCTTGGGAATGGAGGACATAAAGGCAGAACAAGATAAAAGAAACCTGGATCCTTAAGGACTTCATGGAATAGAGCCACCATTCAAGCCCTTATCTCATGTAAACTGCATAGGATTGCACAGGCTGTGCACTGTGTAATTCCAGGGACCCCATTTAGTGTATTCTATGTGTTCAACCACACACAGCATCACTAAAATTTCCCTTTAAGTCACTGTTATCTTGGGCCTTTGTGATTAATGGCCAAATATTATCCTAATTGCTACAGAGTACAAATTGCGATCACCAGTTTAGAGAGAAATTTAGCAATATTTAATAAAACTGAAAATACACATATCCTATGATCGCTACAATATATTATCGCATTGGTTCTCAAAATATAGTCTGTCTCCAAAGACAGTGGAGTCTCCAAAGGTCAGCGAAGTCAAAATTATTTGTGTAATACTAAGATGTTATTTGCCTTCCCACTGTGTGGACCTTTGCACTGACAGTGCAAAAGCAATGGTGGGAAAAACTGCTGGCTCCTTGGCACAAGTCAAGGTGGTGGCGCCAAACTGTACCAATAATCCTCACATTCTTCACTGCCACATGCCTACAGTGTAGGGGGCGCAGTTTCACTTACGAATTTTCTTGATGAAGCAATAAAAATTAATTTTTAATTACTTAACAATTCTTCATATTCAGAGTGATGACTAAACCCCTACACACTAAGATACTGTGGTTGTCACCACCACTTACACAACTGTTTAAGTTGGCAGCTGAACTAACCACTTTTTTCATGAAACACTTTTTTACTTGAAACAAAACTGACAAACTATGGTTATTCGCACTTGGGTATGTGGCAGACACTTTCTCAAAAATGAATAAAGTGGGGCCAGCCCCGTGGCCAAGTGGTTAAGTTCGTGCTCCACTTTGGTGGCCCAGGGTTTCACTGGTTCGGATCCTGGGCGCAGACCTAGCACAGCTCATCAAGCCACACTGAGGTGGCGTCCCACACAGAACTAGAAGGACCTACACTAGAATATACAGTATGTACTGGGGGACTTTGGGGGGAAGAAGAAAGAAAAAGAGAAGATTGGTCACAGATGTTAGCTCAGGTGCCGATCTTTAAAAAGAAAAAAATGCACAGAGTGAGCATATCACTTCAAGGAAAATAACTGATGGTATTTGTTGCCAATGATAAAATTTGAGTTTTAAGTAAAAATTAGAATTTTGGAAAACCTGTGTCCATCACCATGAGCTTTAAGTTTCCCAATACTTAAATATTTTCCTGATGAACTTGGTGGTAACATTAACAAGTATGATTTTTGGGTATTACATAATAAAGTAAGTCAAAATTTGGAGGAGCTACACAATTCAGTGAACTGATGTTTTCCAAATGACCAATGAATGCATGATGTTTCAAAATTATGCATGAGTAAAAGACCCATTCAGCGTGCAAGATAGACCAATGGATTTACATGTAACAGAAGACAAAAATTCATTGATAAGGTTTCAAATTCCAAATTGCAACTAACCTTTAAGAAACCACCCCTTGTCAAGTCTTGGTGTAGTTATCAACAAAGATCCACAAGTACCTGAAAAAGCTATTGAAAATGTTTCCAACTACACGTCTATGTGAAACTGGATTTTCTGTGTATATTTCAACCAAAACAACATATAGCAAGCGACTGACTGCAGAAACAGATATGGGGAACCAGCTATCTTCAACTAAGCCAAATATTAAAGAAACTTACAAAAACGTAAAAACAATGCTATTATTCTCATTAGATTTTTATTTTATAAAAGTTATTTTTATAAGAGTATTTATGTTAACATGTAAGGATTTATCATTTTTTTTCAGCAAATTGATGTAATCACTTATTTTTATTTTCAGATGTACATCATATTTCCAATTCTGTGTACATCATGTTCACCACCTGAAAACTAATTATAGTCCATCCCCTCACATGAGAACCGATCACCCCTTTTACCCTCCCCACCTCCCCCATGGTAACCACCAATCCAATCTCCAATGCTATTTTTTGTTGTTATTGTTTTTATCTTCTACTTATGATTGAGATCATATGGTATCTGACTTTCTCCCTCTGACTTATTTCACTCAGCACAATACCCTCAAGGTTCATCCATGTTGTCACAAATGGCCGGATTTCGTCATTTCTTATGGCTGGGTAGTAGTCCATCGTGTAGAAATACCACATCTTCTTTATCCTTTCATCCCTTGATGGGCACCTAGGTTGCTTCCATGTCTTGGCTATTGTGTATAATGCTGCAATGAACGTAGGGGTGCAAGTATCTTTATGCCTTTGTGTTTTCAAGTTCTTTGGATAAATACCCAGCAGTGGAACAGCTGGATCATATGGTAGATCTATCCTTAATTTTCTGAGGATACTCCCTACTGCTTTCCATAGTGGCTGCACCAGTTTGCACTCCCACCAGCAGTGAACAAGGGTTCCCTTCTCTCCACATCCTTGCCAGCAATTGTTGTTTCCTGTCTTGTTAATTATAGCCATTCTGACCAGAGTGAGGTGATACCTCATTGTAGTTTTGATTTGCATTTCCCTGATAGCTAATGATGTTGAGCATCTTTTCATATGCCTGTTGGCCATCCATATATCTTCTTTGGCGAAATCTCTGTTCAGATCTTTTGCCCATTTTCTAACTGGATTGTTGGTTTTTTTGTTGTTGAGCTGTATTAGTTCTTTCTATATTTTGGATATTAATCCCTTATCTGATATATGGTTTGCAAATATCTTCTCCCAATTGTTACATTGTCTTTTCGTTGTGTTGATGGCTTCCTTTGCTGTGCAGAAACTTTTTGGTTTGATGTAGTCCCATTTGTTCATTTTTTCTTTTGTTTCCCTTGCCTGGTCAGACATGGGACTTGAAAAAATGCTACTCAGACCAATGTCAAAGAGCGTACTGCCTATGTTTTCTTCCAGAAGTCTCATGGTTTCAGGTCTTACATTCAAGTCTTTAATTCATTTTGAGGTTTTTTTTGTGCATGGTGTAAGGGAATTGTCTACTTTCATTCTTCGGCATGTGGCTGTCCAGTTCTCCCAACACCATTTATTGAAGAGACTCTCCTTTCTCCATCGTATGCTTTTGGCTCCCTTGTCGAATATTAGCTGTTCATAAACGTGTGGGTTTACTTCTGGGCTCTCAGTTCTGTTCCATTGATCTGTGTGTCTGTTTTTGTGCCAGTACCATGCTGTTTTGGTTACTATGGCTTTGTGGTATAACTTGAAATCAGGGAGTGTGATACCTCCAGCTTTGTTCTTTTTCCTCAGGAATCCTTTGGCTATTTGGGGTCTTTTGTTGTTCCATGGATTTATCATCATTTTAAATGAATAAACAAATTACCATACTTCTTCAAGGATTCAGGCAGAAAAATCAGGCTGGACTCAGAACTTTTCAACTGCAATATTCAAGGACTAGGACACAGTGGCATGATGAACTGAAAGCTGTGAGGGACAGCAACAGTGACTGTGGTAGGCTGAAAAATGGTCCCCCCAAAAGATATCCAAGTACTAACACCTGGAACCTGTAGATGCTACCTTGTTTGGAAAAAGGATCTTTGCAGAGGTGATTAAATTAAGGATTTTGAGATGAGGAGATTATCCTGGATTATCCAGGTTGGCCCAAAATGTGATCACAAGTGTGCTTACAAGAGAGGCAGAAGGAGATTACACAGACAGAAGAGGAAGCAATATTGACCATGGAGGCAGAGACTGGAGTGATGCAGCCACACACCAAGGAATGGGTGCAGCCATCAGAATCTGGAGGAGGCCAGGAATGGATTCTCCCTTCGAGTCTCCAGAGAGAATGCAGCCCACACCTTGATTTTGGCCCAGTGATACTGATTTTGAACTTCTGGTCTCCAGGACTGAGAGAGAATAAATTTGTTGTTTTAAGTTACCAAGGTTGTGGTAATTTGTTACAGTGGCAATAGGCAACTGACAGTGACCCAAGAATATTCTACCTAGTCAAGTTGTTATCCAATCACAAGCATATGGATACTAATTGAAGTCGTGGGCATAAATGAGACCAATCAGGGTTTACAACCCCAACAGACCCAACACATATCAAATACTTTACAACCCTTCACCTCCTGGAAAAGAAATTCAAGACATAATCTATCAAATATATTTTTTAAATCAACATAACGGACTAACGAAGAAAAATATAGAGACTGGGGCCAGGTCATATACATGACAAGTCTATTCCAGTACATTCTTATCTTCTCATCAAGTAAGATGCCAATGAGTCCAGGCTTCATTCAGCCAAGAAAGCACAGTTACAACTATTTCCAGCACTTTAACCAAAACACTGAGTCCAGAATCCCTTTGGAGCACACCCTAGTCGATAAATTTGAAGTACAGTTAATTCTTGGCTTTCTCGCCTCATAATCCATTCCCACACACATTCCCCCAGATTTTTTTGCCGATATAAACTGGAAATAACCTTTCTTTTAGTGTGTCTTTTTTGGGTTCTTCTGAAAGCAGAGCCTAAGACAAAGACTTGGGTATAAGTGGTTTGTTCAGGATATGATCCCATGAAACAGAAGTGACAGAGGGGGACAGTGAGACAGGAAAGGAGGTATCAAAACATAGCAGTGTGTTCCTGAGGTTACTGCTCTGGGTAACAGCACTTTGACTTCACCAGGACCTCCTGAGAAGTATACAGGATGCCTCCTAGGGTTGTCCAACTATTCATCCACTGACTCCTGTCTCCAGTCCCTGAGGTTGCCCCCAGAGACCTAAGCTGTGTTGGTAAGCAGGCCAAGTGGGCTCCTGTGGCATCAGAGAAGCCCTGGGGCAGATGGTGCAGAGACACACAGCAGGTGCCAGAGAGGCAGCTCTGTAAGTCCACTGCAATTAAAGGTGTGATGAGGGCATCAGTCAAGACACCAGCACTTGCACCCCTCAGATCTACTTGGGCACCATATTAAGTCCGTTCTGTCATGATTCTTTGAGGTGAAGGCTGGTTACAACCTTTACAAAAGACTTAATATAAGAGGGTTAAAACAAATACAGTCCCCACTGCTGCAGCTGCTCTTGAGGCTGTAAGTGCTATTTATTATCTCCCTTCTCCTCCACCTGTCCTAGACTTCCCTTATCCTCAGCCAACATCACAGCTAGCTTACATGGCTTGCCTGATGGCCTTACCCAGATCTCCATCCCTGAGGGGTCTGAGCCCTTGGCTGCCTTGCCCTTGGCTGCCTTGCCCTTGGCAGGCTGTGGTTGCTGAAAATGCCTTTTCACTGTTGTCACTTGGCATGGAAGCAAGCAGACAGACCCAGGTGAAGCCTCCAAGTGCCAGACCAAATCCTGATTGCCCCATTAATTAGCAGCAACCCTATCTCCTCGTAATAATCAGGATCAATTATCCCCTCCTTCTCTGCCTGCTGGTCCACCAGCATGAGGAGTTCAAAGTGGGTGGAATTCGCAGATTCAGGTTCAGCAGAGGTGTCCTTCCCTGGAAGCAGTGGAAGACCCCTCATGGAAGTGTTCCCTACCTGGAAACCAGGGGCTTTAATCCAGCAGACCTTAATGCTGTAGAGACACAATGTGCAAATAATACAAGTGGAGCACAGAGAATGATGGTGACAGAGAGCTAATCTCAACCCCTGGATTCTTGGACCTGTGTCTTTGTTCCTGGATCCACATATTCTGTCCACTGGAGGCACAGCACCATATACTGGGCTTTGATTCAGGTTATATACCCCAACTCCTCAGATACATCCTAGAGCTAGGACTTAGCTAAGTCTTTAAGAGATCATTACATCTTTCAGTTAGACTGACTGCTTGTAGACAAGGCAGGATATTAGAGAAGCAGTGGATCCCTTGGCAATCCATACACCATTGTACCTCTTTCACTGTAAAATGAGTTTCTTGGCCCAAAGTGATGTTATACATGAACTCACGTTGGTAAATCGAGCATTCTCTAAGCTCCTGAATAGTGATGCCACTCAGACATCGTGGATCAGAAAGGCAAACCCGTACCCAGAGCATGTGTCAATTCCAGTAAGATGAATTAATGCTCCCTCCTGGGTGGAAAGGATCTGCTGTAACCACCCCATCGCCAACTCATCCAGGGATGGTACCATATCAGGAGCTCAGCACTACTCTTGGCTGCTAACAGGTCAGAAATTCAGCAGCAATAATAATTAGATAAGCCCTGATAAGAGACCCCGTGTTGGTGGGCATAAACTGCAGTCCTACCACGATGGCACTCCAGTCATGGGCCTGATGCACAAGCACAAAAGGACAGAAGCTGGCTGAGCTTTATCTAGCCCCCTTTGTTGCTCAGTGACCCCTCTGCAGTGAGTATTAACATGAGGCACAAAGATTCACAGCCTTGTGATCACTCGCAGAGATCCATCTTCTTTCCCAGACCTCCTTGTCTCCAATATTCCCCTCCTGCTTTTTCCAGGTGCCTGACCAACTAGCAAGACATCTGTCACAACCCAGATGTTCATGTGCATCTCTTCCTTACGCCACTACAGTGTCCACTCCACTCCCTCCCTCCAAAGTGGATATCCAAGCATACTGCTTGAAGCTCCGCCCTCTGGAGGATTTCTCATTACTGTCATTTAGAGCCACCCTGAGAGGGACTGCAATGCAGCAATGGTTCATCTTCAGCTCATACCAACACATCAAGCTGATCCATCTCTGAACCAGACCTGAATTTTTCTTCCTGTCTGCTAAAAAAGAGGCATCGGTGCAACAAGGTAGGAGATGTGGAGGCCACAGCCACCTCTTCCTATAAACGACTTGTGCCCTCTATACAAGCTTGGGTCCTATCCTTTTTCATTGTGCCATGAGTTGCTACTGAGCCTGCCTAACCTATTGGTTTGGTGGGTCTGTCAGTATCTGGCTCAGGTCACATAGTCATTTGATGCCCCATAATCAGGCACTCAGTCTCTACTTGGGTCCAGCAGTGTACCAGGAGCTGCTTTCAATTGCTGAGTAGTTCTCCACTGCAGTAGGCATCGTCTTGCTTCAGAATCCTAGGAGTGTGCGCTGCAAATCTCCTGTTACAGCCTGCCAAAGGTGCCATGCAGGGTCCCTACCTACCACAAATAAGCCCAACCCTAACCCATTGGTTTTGCTAAGTGGCAAGGGAACTCACCCTCCAATATGGATCTTCAACAGAGCCCTCCTTTACTCTGGGCCCCACTCAAAACTAGCAGTCTTCCAAGTTACCCAATAAATAGGTCAGAACAGTATTCCCAAGTGTGGTACACACTAACTCCAAAATCCCAACATGCGTCAAGCGCTATGCCTCCTTCTTTGTGATAGGGATACCAAATGCAAAACTTGTCCTTATCTAAGAGGTGATGCCCTGATCTGCCCTACAATGCTGCACCCCTGAAAACTTCACTGATGACAGGCTCCAGAACTTCTGAGGGTTTCTCTCTCACCCCCTGACATGAATTGTCTTACCAAGGACAGAGCACTTGTCACTTTCTTCTTCATGGTGTCCAACTAGCATGATGTCATCAATGTTATGTGGAACATCCAGATGATCAAGGTCTCAATGGATTATGTTGTGACAGAGAGCAGGAGTGTCAAAACAGCGTTGAAGCAAGACAACGAATATGTTTGGCTGTCCTTCCCATATAAACGTGAACTGCTGTTGGAAATTTACTCTTTATTACTGGAAATTGAAAAGAATGTTAACCACATCAATAATTGCATTATTAAGTGCCAGAGATGCATTAATTGGTTCCAGTAAAGATACCTCATCTGACACAGCTGCTGTGATTGGAGATACTACTTGGCTAAGTCTGTGGTACACCACCATTATTTACTTGAATCCATCTGGATTTTGCAGAGACCATTCAGGTGAATTGAAGGGGATGTAAAGGGGACAACCACTTTTTTGTCTTCAAGAGTGACACAACCTCTGCAATCCCACCTGAAATGCAGCATTGTTTCTGATTTAGTATCCTGGAGGGGGTGGCAGAGGGATGGGGAGTTTCAGGGGCTTCCACTTTGCTCTTCCTACCATAATCTTTCTTATTCCACAGATAAGAGATCAATGTACAGGCTCTTCCTACTGCTACATGTAATCATCCCAAGTGTGCACTGGGACCAGAGAAGTAACCACAGGACATGGGTCAGGATTCCATTTATCACCTGACTTCCATAGCCCCTATTCTAACCAGTGGCTCACGATGCTTCAGGTACCCTGGCATAAGTGTCAGCTCAGATCCTGTATCTAACAGTCCTTGAAAGATCTGGAGAGTCGCTTTTGCAAAGTCAATTAGTTGCTTTGTTAAGTGGCTCTAGATCCCTTTGGGGAAGGACTGGAGGAGTATGTTTTGTATATACTTATCGTGGCATTGTAGAATCCTTCCTGGAAGGGACCAAGGTCCTTTTCGACCAGTGAGCTCTAGGTGTCAAAACTAGATTTAAATAGAGTGAGGGATCGTGATTTTCCACTGCAGCAACTGACATTCGCCTTCTGATCAACAACTCTTGATGTCTTTCTGGTTACTCAAATCAAACAGCTCTAGTCAGCTGCCTACCTATTTCACCCCAAAGAACACCATGGTCCAACAGGCACTGCCACAGATCCCTGTGGGTCAGGTCATGCTGGCTGCCACTCCAGTCTGGGGCAGAAGCAGAAATGCAGAAGACGAACCTCAGGCGGGACCCCATCAACGTGAGTCTGAGCGCTCTTCGGTGAACCAAGGAGACGCGGTGCGGCCCCGGGTGTCTGCTCTAAGGTGTGAGCCTACTCCTCCTGGGAGTGATTCTGTAATTGGTTCTAGGTCTAGAGGCAAGAAGGGGAGTAGAGTGGGGTATGGAGATGTTAGTGTCACTCAGGGCAACAAGACCCACCTCCCAGAGTTGCGCTCCAATCCACTCGGCGGTGACTAGGGATTTAAGGGTTTTGGAGCCATCGGGATTGTCCCAAGGGTCCCGATCTTTCATTCACTCATCAGCAGATATTTACTCGGCACCGACCGTGTGCCCCACACTCTCCAGCCCTAGAGGTGAGTCACACACACGTTCTCCTCCCCTTGGTGTGATACGCACTCAGGGCTGGCCACACTCAGTGGCTCAACTCCTTGCTCCACTGTCCCGCCCACTCCCCTACCCAGGCGAAGGCCCATCTTCCCTCACCGGCAGTTTCCGGGGCACACCTACCCTTAAGCACTCTGCCCGCTCCACTCCCGCGGAGAGACCAATTCGCACGCTAGCCGCGGACACGCCAGCTGCCCATGTGATTTGCCCACGTGACTTACCCACGTGACACGCTGCAGGGCGGCAGGCCCAACCCCTCATGGCGCTTCTGATTGGCCCACGCTGTTTCTTAGTTCCGGCTCACAATCCAACAGCAGCCTGCCTTTCGAGCGGCCCCGCCCAGAGAGAGAGGCCATTGGTCTTAGCCCTGAGCAGGGGCGGGGAATGGCGGAGACGCGCGGAATCTGGCCTTCGGAAAGGGCCCCCGGACCAGGCACACGGAGAGAGCCGAGCGGCGCCGCAGAGAGCCGAATAGAGCCGGAGAAACCCGAGTGTGACCGGAAGCTCAGGTTAGCCGGAAGCAGAGCCGAGCGCAGCCGGAAGAAGCCGAACCCGTCCGAAGTGGGCTGAGCTCGGCTGGGCGTTGGGCCCGGCCAAGCCCGCGCTATGGCGGCCGAAGGGACAGCTGCGGCCGGAGGCGGGGCTGTCGGCGGCCGCTTGGCCAAGGACAGCTTGCTGCGGTCTAAGTGCCCCGACGCGGCCTCGAACGCGCGGCGCGGCTCAGCGCGGTCGCGTGACGCCGAGCGCCGAGCCTACCAGTGGTGCCGCGAGTACTTGGGCGGCGCCTGGCGCCGAGCGCGGCCGGAGGAGCTGAGGGTTGACCCCGTGAGGTGGGAGTTCAGAGGTCAGGGGGCGTGTGCGGGCGGGAGCGCCGAGGGTCCCAGGCGGCTGGCCGGGGGCTGAACGCGCTGCCGTGGCTTGCAGCGGGGGCCTCAGCAACCTGCTGTTCCGCTGCGCGCTGCCGGACCACCTGCCCAGCGTGGGCGCGGAGCCGCGCGAGGTGCTGTTGCGGCTGTACGGGGCCATCCTGCAGGTGAGGGCCGGCGCCGCCCCGGGGGGCAGGACCCCGAGGCTCGGGCGGGGCCTTGTCCGCTCCCGGGACGGCGTTCCAGGCAGAGGACGCGCCGGCTGCCGTGGGAGGAGAAGGCAGCCCCTCCTGTGTGTCGGTGCCGGTTTGCCTCCGGCCCCTTTGCTGTCCGTCTTCCTTCAGGGCGTGGATTCCTTGGTCCTCGAAAGCGTGATGTTCGCCATCCTCGCAGAGCGGTCACTGGGGCCCCAGCTCTACGGAGTCTTTCCAGAGGGCCGGCTGGAGCAGTACATCCCAGTACGAGCCCAGCCCGGCCCTGACCTCCCCAAGGCACCTCCTTCCCCAGCCCCTAGCCCCCTTCCCAGTGTCTGCCTTCACATCCCTCGCCCCAGGTAGGGAATTTTCCCCAAGACCCTGACCTCCCCCCATTCCGCCACCCCGCTCCCCTCCTGCCCCAGCCCCCTCACCACCCTGATAGGTTCCTGGGTGCAGAGTCGGCCCTTGACAACGCGTGAGCTTCGAGATCCGGTGTTGTCAGCCGCCATTGCCACGAAGATGGCCCGCTTCCACGGCATGGAGATGCCTTTCACTAAGGAGCCCCACTGGCTGTTTGGGACCATGGAGCGGTGAGTCAGGGGCCTCCTCAAGGCTCCTGCACACCCGGGCTGAACCCTCATGCTGGCACTTACCACCCTGGGCTGTGACTGGCTGCGTACATGACTCTGTCCAGCCCTCCACTTGTGTGGATCAGGTGTCCCCGGGTCTAGCATGGTCTCACAGAACAGGCTTCCAGACGTTTGCCAGACAAGTCATAGTGACAGGAAAACGGGTAGGATAGCCTGGCCTGGGGTAGATAGGAAAGGGGTGGGGAGGGATAGTAGGATGACTATATCCTATTCTTTGGGCTTCAGGTACTTAAAGCAGATCCAGGATCTGCCCCCGACTGGCCTCCCCCAGATGAACCTGCTGGAGATGTACAGACTGAAGGATGAGATGGGCAGCCTCAGGTGAGGGCAGGCAGGATGGCGAGCAGAAGAGCACAGGGTCCTCCCCAAGATTTGGTGAAGGCTGGGGTCAGGGAGGGTGGCTCTGACCCTCCTCTAGTCACTGTTGCTCAGGACCCATGCCCCTGTTTCCCTGCAGGAAGTTGCTAGATTCTACCCCATCACCAGTGGTCTTCTGCCATAACGACATTCAGGAAGGTAAAACATGTCTTGAGTTTCCCAGCCTAAGGTGAGGAGGCCCAGAGGGCCCTGGAGTGACCAGAATCCTACCACATTCTCCTAGGGAACATCTTACTGCTCTCAGAGCCAGAAGATGTCGACAGTCTCATGCTGGTCGACTTTGAGTACAGCAGTTATAACTACAGGTGAGGGTGAGAGGACGGCTTCCCATAGGTCTGTTCCCTCAGTACCCTGGAAAACAGACCTAGCTTTCATCTGTGCATCCCAGCCACCCAGGGTATTTAGGGACTGAGTATCCACCTTATTCCTTCAGGGGCTTTGACATCGCGAACCATTTTTGTGAGTGGGTTTATGATTATACTCACGAGGAGTGGCCTTTCTACAAAGCACAGGCTGCAGACTACCCCACCCGGGGACAGCAGGTATGTGGGCTAGAGGCTGGGCAGCAGGACCTGGCCTATAAGGGATGAGGAAGGTGAAGTTTGAACGAAATGATGAGAAGGGGTGTTAACTGGGAAATGCTCCACAGTCTGCTTATTTCCTGACTCTCATCTGTTGATGTCAGCTTCATTTTATTCGCCATTACCTGGCGGAGGTAAAAAAAGGTGAGACCATCTCCCGAGAGGAGCAGAAGAAACTGGAAGAAGATTTGCTGGTAGAGGTCAATCGGTGAGGAAAGATGGGTGGGGTGGGGGTGGAGCAGGGGGCAGAGGAAGATGCAGACAGTCAGACTCACGGGGCTACAGGTAAGGGTGCAGTGCAAAGTGGGGGCAGGGAGCAAGGATGAGGTATGAGGCTGACAGGGAGGGACAGTTTGAGAGTGGTAAGAGTCAGGACAGGGTAGGGGTTAGGGCAGCGGGGCTTGACCAGCCTCGAGGAGGGGATCCAGGCAATGCCAGATGTCCTCTGAACTCTACTTTTCTGTACCTTCAGGTATGCTCTGGCATCCCATTTCTTTTGGGGTCTTTGGTCCATCCTCCAGGCATCCATGTCCACCATAGAATTTGGTTACTTGGTAAATAACCTGGGGTGGGGGGGCTAAGTCGGGGGAGGGGAAGCAGCAGGGGCATCTGTTCTCCAGAAAATCTGGGCAGTCCTGGGTGGCCTATGGGCAGGCTGAGTGGGGTTGGAGTGCTAGTCCCATGCCTTCTCACTGACGTATGTGATGGGCTTCCTTCCCTAGGAGTATGCCCAGTCTCGGTTCCAGTTCTACTTCCAGCAGAAGGGGCAGCTGACCAGCTTCCATCCCTCGTCCTGACTCTCTACCTCCCAACTCCTTGGATTTCTCCCGGAGCCTCCAGGGCAGGACCTTGGAGGGAGGGGCAAAGAGCAGGAAGCCCTGGGGACTGGGCTGAGCCCCCCGGAGTCAGACTGGGGTTGAGGAGGCTGACCTCACCCCAGGTTTGAGCAGGTCCTCACTGCAGGCGAGCGGGCGGGAGCCCCTGGGCTGTGTACCTAAAGACAATAAACAAGCTCGTTCCCTCACACTCTGTCTTAGCCCTGCTGGAGTGCAGCAGAAAGTACCAACCAAGAAATGCACATAGATTGACAAAGTGACCACTGCTCTGAGCCTCAGTTTCCCCTCCTGAAAAGTGTGGCTGCTTAGTGCTTCTGGGCTTGAAAGTGGTTAAGGGTCCTCTCTGCTCATTGGAACCAGCTGCCCTCCTCACTCCCTGGCTCCAGCTTAGAAGTGATAAATATTAAGAGGACTTGGGTGGGGGACTGGGGAGCATTGGGGGTACAAAGAGGGCCTGGGGTGAGACTGCCCAACCCTGAGCACTGGAGATCAAGGGACAGACAGCACAGCTGACACACTGATGACCTTTCCCCTACATTTGGCTATTTTTAGCTCTAATGCCGCCACCCTCACGTGAGACCCTTTGGCCCCCCCCCCAGGTTCCCAGACCTTTGAGCAATCTTGGGCTTGCAGAAACCCGACCCCCCCCCCATTTCCACCACCGAGGGGAGGGGATTCTGGTTGCCGCCCCCCATCTGTTTTCTCAACCCAAATTTGGGAGTGGGTGTCAGGTTCCCAGTGAGGGCGGGGCGGGGATGGTCAGTCCTGAAGGACGTGGGGACACGGGCCAGAGCGACTGGCCCCAGACGCGGACAGGAGCAAACCCAAGCCGTGAGTGGAGTGGGGGGCAGCACAAGGCTACCTACTTTTCTCGGAGTCCTGGGGCGGTGCACGGGGCGAGGTGCGCGCCGGGATCCCATTTGGTCGGGGTTGGGTGGGGGGTCCTGGATGGACTCCGCTTCCCGGGGCGCCTCTTGCCCCCACCCCAAGGCCGCCCTTTAGTGTCCTCCGGGCTCGTGAGGTTTTCAAGGCCCCGATTCTTGCATCACTGCGGCGGAGCCTCCCTGCAACGCCGGCACGGCGGTTCAGCGGCCGTTGGCGGGGGCTGGGGGACCAGCCACGGGCGTGCTAGGGGTGGGCGCTGGCGAGCGGGGCGGGGGGGGGGGGGGGGGGGGGGGGGGGGGGGGGGGGGGGGGGGGGGGGGGGGGGGGGGGGGCGGGGCCTGGGCGTGGCGGGCGGCCGAGGGCCAGCTGACCTGAGCCGCCCCGCGCACCCTCCTGCACCCTCCTGCTCCCTCCCAGGTGCCAGCCAACCCCCAGGATGGCGGAAGCACACCAAGCCGTGGCCTTTCAGTTCACGGTGACCCCAGATGGGGTCGACTTCCAGCTCAGTCGGGAGGCCCTGAAACACGTTTATCTGTCCGGGATCAACTCCTGGAAAAAACGTCTGATTCGCATCAAGGTGGGCGCAGGGGGTTCTCCTGGCCCCTTCCTCCCAGCAGGTGCAGAATAGAGCCTCCCAGGGAGGCAGAGGCCAGGTGTCAGCTGCTACCCCATAGTCAAGGTCCTTCACTCACACCTTAGCTGGCAGTTCCGCTGGGTGATAGGCTCTACCAGTGCAGAAACCAGAGGGGTGCTCAAGGTGTGGAGGGGAGAGGGGTGTGCAAGAAGTGACAGTGCAGCACAGTGAGTAATTGGGCACTGCAGGTGTGGCAGTGTGGAAGAGGGAAGACCAGGCATGAACGAGGAATAAGAACACAGCAGGTGAGGAAGGGAGAAAGCCTCCCAGGCAAAGACCAGGACCTCATGTGCCTGCTTACCACAGTCCTTCCTGCTCCATAAGTGTGCCTGTTTCTGACCCCACAGAATGGCATCCTTAGGGGTGTATACCCTGGCAGCCCTACCAGCTGGCTGGTTGTCATCATGGCAACAGTGGGTTCCTCCTACTGCAACGTGGACATCTCTATGGGGCTAGTCTGTCATATCCAGAGATGCCTCCCTGAGGGGTAAGAAGCGGGGCCAGGAGAGAGGGTTGGGTGGGCTGCAAGGCCAGGGTTCCTGAGCTGGGCTGATACAGGACAATAGCCATTGGAGGTCATAGGGGCAGCCTTCCTTGGGGACCACCATCATCTCAATCCCACGTTCGTAAGTGGTATACTCAGATGTGAGTGTGCCCAGGGAGGTTCTTCTTTGACGCCTCCCCCAAGATGGCTCACAACCACCAAGACTGCAGAGTCAGAATTTCCCCAAGGCTGGCCTTGCGTGGACCCCCTGCAGCTCTCTCCCTTTCTGTGACAGATGTGGCCCCTACCAGACACCGCAGACCCGGGCACTTCTCAGCATGGCCATCTTCTCCACGGGGGTCTGGATGACGGGTATCTTTTTCTTCCGCCAAACCCTGAAACTGCTTCTTTCCTACCACGGTTGGATGTTTGAGATGCATGGCCAGACCAGCCACTTTACCAAAGTCTGGGCTGTGAGTAGAAGCCAGTGAAGGGGTTTAGGCATCTGGTTTGAGACCCCGGGCGAGCCTCATTTAGGGTTCTGAGCTGAAGGGGAGGGGCATTTGGGGCACTGGTCCCTGGCACGTGGTTTGTCCTGATTCTGAGGATCTGGGGCCCAGCTCCACAAGTGTTTGCTAATTTGTTTCCATTCTTTCCTCTGGCTCCCACTCCAACACTCTCTGCTCTGTACCCCCAGATCTGTGTCCGCCTTCTGTCCAGCCGGCGGCCCATGCTCTACAGCTTCCAGACATCTCTGCCCAAGCTTCCCGTGCCTAGTGTGCCGGCCACAATTCAGCGGGTGAGGCCTGGGTTGGGCATCCCAGTGGGCAGAGTAGGCTGGACTCAGAGAACTTGTCCAAACATAAGGGTCTATCCCCTGCAAAGAGTGGGCTTGAGAGCAATGGGCCTGGGGTTGGAAGAGGGTCAGGACAGAGGTAGCCATTACTGTCTGGCCCCCACACTGACGATAACTTGGCTGGACAGTACCTGGAATCTGTGCGGCCCTTGCTGGATAACGAGGAATATTACCGCATGGAGATGCTGGCCAAGGAATTCCAGGACAAGACTGCCCCTCGGCTGCAGAAGTATCTGGTACTCAAGTCGTGGTGGGCAACTAACTATGTGAGTTTCCCTTCCTTGACTTACTCTCGCCAACCTGTATCCTGGCTGCCCACACCCTACCCTTCCCCCCAGCACTAACTTCCCTCTCGCCCATAGGTGAGTGATTGGTGGGAAGAGTACATCTACCTCCGAGGCAGGACCCCCCTCGTGGTGAATAGCAACTATTATGTCATGGTAAGAGCCAGAGCCATGGGCGCTCTTGTGTGCTCAGCTTTGTCCCCAGCTCCAGGTCTCAGGGCAAAGGACCTGGAGAACAGCCCAGAGTCCTGGTGACAGTTTCCACCTGCAAGTGGGGGTTCTGGAGTGAGGTCTGAGGGAAAGGGAAGATGAGGGAGATCCTGGAAGAATCTCCAGGAGTCTTAGCAGCTTAGGGATGATGGGGATACTGAGGATCGGAGAATCTAGTAGACCCATCACCTGACACTGTCCGCTCTTGAAGTCCCTGAGGCTCACTGCCCTGCTCAGCTCAGGCTCCGTCACATCCTTCCTTGGTTCCCTCACTGGCCTCCCAGCCATGGGTTCCAACTGTCTTGACACCATTACCAGGGAGCTTCCTTAAACATGCCTTCCTTGGTGTCACTCTTTGGATCCAGAGCTGCTTCTGTTAGAGTCAGGTGGTCACTGTCTGCCCCTGTCCCATGTGACTGGCCTTCTCCTGCTCCCAGTACAAACCTTGCATAGCCAACTGGGTCTTCCTGCCACCCAGCCATGGTCTACACCATGCACCTCTCCCCTTTCCCACGGTCCAAAGCACACTCTGAGTAAGATGCTGGAATCCTCCTCCTCCACAAAACTGTCCCTCTAGAAACTTATATACAACTTGTCTGTACCAGAGGTTTTAAGCTGCTTTTTAGTGGTGGGAACCACTTTCTTAAAGCAAAATAAACAAAACAGGAGCAAGTGAAATAGGTTATGGAAAAGCAGCTCAGGCCAAATCTGGAGCAGAGGAGTGACGTGATGAGTTATGCATTTCATGTCTGGCAGTTCACTCTGACAACATACGCAGGATGGACTGGGGGGTGGGGACAAGACACCTCAAGTCCTCTGGCAGGGAGACCCAGGTGACACCCTGGACAGAGAGGTGCTGCTCTGCACACCTGTCATAGCCACCCTGAAGGCTCTGCTCTCTCTCTGTAGGACTTTGTGCTCGTCAAGAACACAGATGTGCAGGCAGCCCGCCTGGGAAACATCGTCCATGCCATGATCATGTATCGCCGTAAACTGGACCGTGAAGAGATCAAGCCTGTGAGTTGTGTTAGGATTGAGGGCACAACAGGGAGAGGAGGCCTGCCTCTGAGCCCTGCTGGGCATTCCCTCCAGGTGATGGCCCTGGGCATGGTGCCTATGTGCTCCTACCAGATGGAGAGGATGTTCAACACCACCCGCATCCCAGGCAAGAAGACAGGTACTGGGCACCCATCATGGGGCCATTGGGATGGAGCCCCCTCCCTCCCAGCTGTGGGCCCACCATGGCTAGATGCCCTACTATGTGCTCATCAGCAAGTGTCCTTGGTGACTCAGAGTTGTGTAACTGTGGAAAATAGTCAGTTTGTGACACCTGCTATTTACAGGCACAATGCTAGTGCTGGGACCCTGCGGGGCCCCTCCCTTCCAGGAGCTCACAGTGCAGGGGAAGGTAGTCTCCTTATAAAGAGCTGCAGGAGGTGTGCTGCTGCCCTGTGGCGCTTACAAGACGCCCTTCAAGGAGCCCATAGAGGAGGTCGGGTGGGCTCAGCGAGGGATCTGGCAGGGGCAGCAGCCTGCGTTTCTGACACTGGGACAGTTTGTGTAATTTTCTTGAGCTTCAGTTTCCTCTTCTATGAAATGCCTCATAGGACTGTTGCTGCCATTAAACGAGAGGTATGGAAGCGCCCAGCACAGGGCCTGGCTTAGTGCAAATGATCCTGCCCCCCATACTGGGCAAGGAAGGCCCAGGCAGAGGCCTGGCAAAGCAGGGTCCTCATGGGTCATCGAGTGTGCAGTTGGTGAACCCGTACCAGGGTGGAGTCGGGGGAAGGGCGGTGCTCCCTGCTGCCCTGCCTTGGCCTGCCCACTGGCCTCTGTCGCAGACGTGCTGCAGCACCTCTCGGACAGCAGACATGTGGCCGTCTACCACAAGGGCCGCTTCTTCAAGGTGTGGCTCTATGAGGGCTCCCGCCTGCTCAAGCCCCGAGACCTGGAGATGCAGTTCCAGAGGATCCTGGATGATCCCTCCCTGCCTCAGCCCGGGGAGGAGAGGCTGGCGGCCCTCACTGCGGGGGGAAGGTATTGGGGCCTGTGGGCATGGGCTGTCCTGGCTGAGGTTCATGGCCCCATGAAGAGAGGAGCTCGGCCCTGCATGCTGCCTAGAACTTGAGGCCGGAGGCATGAGCAAGGGAGGGGCATGCCGGGCATGTAGTCCTCTGTCCAAACCTGGACCCCCGGTAGTGAGGGGCACTGATGGCAACTTCAGTGGGGTAGCTGCCAGAACCCGCTGCACCTCTGCCCATCTCTAACAGGGTAGTGGTTACGTGGGGGTGCACAGAGGATGGGAACACCTTCCACGATCACTTGGCAATCCCCCCTCACCCCAACTCCAGTCCCTGGGAGGTACCTTGGCCCACAGCCCACATTGACCCCACTGCTCACCCTGCTCTTGTGCCCCTAGAGTGGAGTGGGCGCAGGCACGCCAGGCCTTCTTTGGCTCTGGCAAGAACAAGGCTTCTCTGGATGCCATCGAACGTGCTGCTTTCTTCGTGGCCCTGGATGAGGAGTCTCACCACTACGACCCTGAAGACGAGGCCAGCCTCAGCCTCTATGGCAAGGCCCTGCTGCATGGCAACTGCTACAACAGGTACAGCACCAGCCCTGCACACGGCCCCGCTGGGCTTCTCCACCTGCCCTTACATCATTGTTCCCTCTTCTGCTCCTGCAGGTGGTTCGACAAGTCTTTCACTCTCATCTCCTTCAAGAATGGCCACGTGGGCCTCAACACAGAACATGCGTGGGCAGACGCCCCTATCATAGGGCATCTCTGGGAGGTAACAGGCCCAGAGAGGGTTCCTGCAGGGCAGGCTCAGGGGGCAGAGGGTAACGAGGACAGCATCTCAGTGTGACCTTCTCCCTGCAGTTTGTCCTAGGCACTGACACCTTCCACCTGGGCTACACGGAGGCTGGGCACTGCATAGGCAAATCGAACTCCATGCTGGCACCTCCTCAGCGGCTGCAGTGGGACATTCCTGACCAGGTATGCAGGACAAGAAGGGGCAGGGACAGGCATGTGAGAGTGACAATTACCTAAGACGCTCTGCCGCCTCCTCCACTCTGGCCCAGCCCCACTCTCAGGGGGAAGGAAAGGAGCTTCTGAAGGGACAGGTCCAGACTGGCCACAGGATGAACAGAGATCCCAGGGCCATCTGGTGGTTAGAGAGAGATGTGAGGTGGGAGCCTCATGTCCACGCAGCCCCTGTCAGCACCTCCCTCCTCCCCACAAAGCCCAGCCTGGCCTTTGGTGGCTGATGCCCTTCAGGTTGTCCTTTGTGTCCCCTCCTCCTGAAGTGTTGAGGTACACTGAGGCTCCCCAGCCTTGCCCTTCATCCATTACCCAAACCTCAGGCCTCCTAGACATGACCCTGAAGTCCTGCTTGGAGAGCTCTGCCCCTAGCTGACCCTTTCCATGTCTGAACAGTGCCAGGCAGTCATCGAGAGTTCCTACCAGGTGGCCAAGGCACTGGCAGACGACGTGGAGTTGTACTGCTTCCAGTTCTTGCCCTTTGGCAAAGGCCTCATCAAGAAGTGCCGGACCAGCCCTGACGCCTTTGTGCAGATCGCCCTGCAGCTGGCTCACTTCCGGGTAGGAGCCCTGCCAGGCTGCTGAGCGGGCAGGCAGCACCAGGGCCCACCTGCCAGATTCACCCCTCTGTGTTCCCCAGGACAGGGGCAGGTTCTGCCTGACCTATGAAGCCTCGATGACTAGAATGTTCCGGGAGGGACGGACCGAGACCGTACGTTCCTGTACTAGCGAGTCCACAGCCTTTGTTCAGGCCATGGTGGAAGGGACCCACATGGTGAGCCCCCCATGGCCACATGGTGAGGTGACACCTCCACCCCTAGGGGGTCACAGCCACACTGTGAGGTGATCCCTCCACCTCCTGCCCGCCTTGAGGGTCGGGGCTACTCTTTACTGCTTCACTTCTGCCCCCTAGAAAGCACACCTCCAAAATCTCTTCCGGAAAGCTTCTGAAAAGCACCAGAATATGTACCGCCTGGCCATGACGGGGTCTGGGATTGACAGGCACCTCTTCTGCCTCTACGTGGTCTCCAAGTACCTGGGGGTCAGCTCTCCTTTCCTGGCTGAGGTCAGTGTTGTTGACAGGCATGTCTTCTGTTCCCGTACCCTCTCCTAATGGATCTCGACCTGTTTACTGTCTGGCTGGCTGGCTGGCTCCCCTGAAGTTGCCCTGGAGGGCTGGGGCCAGCTTTTCTGCTCCACACCGCACCCAGGCCTGTGGTCCTAGCACTGAACAGGAGCCTTCCCTGTAGAGCTGGTGTTCTTGTGAGTGGAGAGGTACAGAAACGTGTGATATGTCAGGTGGTGACAGCGCTCCTGAGAAAAGTGAAGAGGCTGCAGGGAATCAGGCTGGGCAGAGTCCAGGTAGAGGGAACCTCCAGTATCCAGACCCTGAGGCAAGGGTATGTGGTGTGTGAGGAACAGCAGGGATGGAGGGGGCAGAGCCGAGGGAGGGACAGGGTTGAAGGAGGGGAGGTCAGAGGGACTGGCAGGTCACATGGGCCTTGAGACTCAATGGAGGGTTTTGTGCAGATGCTGTGGTAGTGAAAACAGACCCTGGGGACCAGGGGCAGCAGTCAGGAAAGTCCTGCACTCCATTCATTCCTGCATCCTTGGCCGGGACACTGCCTGGCTCAGGCACCACCTGTGAGCAGGTGTGCGCTGAGTGCATGGCATCTGACCACTGCGGCCTCCCTGTTGCAGGTGCTCTCAGAACCCTGGCGCCTCTCCACCAGCCAGATTGCTCAATTCCAGATCCGCATGTTTGACCCAGACCAGTACCCCAATCACCTGGGCCCCGGCGGTGGCTTTGGCCCTGTAAGTGCCCTTGAAGAGGGCAAGCAGGCAGGACCAGGGCCCAGGGGTTTCAGTGGAAAGTGCGGGGCATTGAGGAGGTCAGACCAGAGGCAGGAACACAGCCCTGGACCTGCCCTATGTGAAAACAGAGGGTAGTTGTCGACCCCGGCGGACAGGTGCCTGGGACCCCACCCATGCTAACCCCTGCTGGAGTGTGACCATGTCCTGTGCTGGTCTCCCTTCTGAAGTGTGCTTCTGGGAGAGTCCAGCCCGCCCACCAAGACATTCATGTGGGCTAGTATGTCAGGGAGCTAGAGATGCCCTGGCAGTGATCTTGATTCTCCTGAGGGAAACATGAGGTCCTAGATCCCCGGGTGGGGTATGGAACTGCAGGGGGCAGACCTCTTTGATGTTCACACTGTTTCCTGGGGGTGGTCCTGACCTCAGGAAAAATGCAGCGTCTGGGGGTGGGGCCCCTTGCTGCAAATCTTGTGAGGAGAGCATGGATAACATCAGCTTGCCTCATAGATCTTCTAGGTTTGGTTTACCTGTTCTTCTTCACCCCTTGTGCTGCCCTCAGGTAGCAGATGATGGCTATGGGGTTTCCTACATGATTGCAGGAGAGAACACCATCTTCTTCCACGTTTCAAGCAAGTTCTCAAGCTCAGAGACGGTAAGTCTCTCCTGCTCCCACTCAGGCCTGAGGAGGGGGCGCCGTCCATGGCCCTGTCTGGCTGGGATAGAGTCCTTGCTTGTGGGGACAGAGGGGTGGGGGGCTCACCTGGAGGCTGGTCTTAGCTCTTGGCTCCCACAGAATGCTCAGCGCTTTGGGAACCACATCCGCCAAGCTCTGCTGGACATCGCTGATCTTTTCCAAGTTCCCAAGGCTGACAGCTGAGGGCTGGAAAAAACACCAGCTGCCCTTTCATCCCCAAGTTGTGGAGGAAGGGGCCTGTGGTCACCTTACAGGCACAAGGAGTGGCCGTGCACAGGTGCCCAGGTTCCAAGGACAGCTCTGGCAGCAGGATCTCCCCAGGCAGACACTGCTCCCTGTGGGCCAAGGTGGTGGAGGTGGGGTTGGAGCAAGTAGGGAATTTTGATTTTTTTTTTTTTTTTGCTAGATACCAATAAAAATAAGGCTGTGTAATTCTCTCTTAGCACTTAGGTACCTGTGTTTTGCTTGAGAACTAGGAGCCCCTCTCCCTGACCCAGCTCAGGCCAGAAAGGGAAGGGAAGGGCTCGGCTGGGAGAATGAGAGAGGCTTGTGACCTGCTTTGAAATGTACGTCTCTGCTGAGGTCACTGTCCACACCCACATATGCACTTGGAACAAATTCTTGCTTCAGAACCTTCACCTGTTCCCTGGGGCCACTTCTATTTGTTTGTCTGCCAGAGAGTGGGGCCCACCTTGCCTCCTCCACGCACAGGCATGCCCTCTGCACCCCTCTGCACTGGAGCACAGCCCTGTGAAGGCTCCTCTCAGGAATAAGGAGGAGCTGCAAAAGTAAACACAAAATAATTTTTATAGAAAGTATACACAAGTACTCAATTACTATTGCTGCATGCTTGAATGAACTAGATCTCAGCACTCTGCTAGGTGCTGATAACCCAGAAGTGAATCAGATATAGTCCTGAGCCTTCTCTTAGGAACCAGTGTTTTTGAGCACTGCCATCTACTTGGCTCTGTGCTGGGGATTCAGTGGTGAACAAGGCACCACATGCCCACATAGAATCCACTGCTGGGTGAGGCAAGCATGGATCAGGGGATAGAACGGCTGGCAGAGAAACCAGGAGGCTTTTGGAATAATCCATTTAGCAAGTACTTATTGAGTGCTGCAGTATGCTGGGCACTGGGATATAGCAGTGAACAAAACTGGCAAAAAGAATCTCCCTGAAGGGCTCAGAGTCTAGTGAGGGAGACAGGCAATAACCAAGAAGAATGAGTAAAGTACATAGTAAGTCAGATGGTAATAAGCACGAAGGAGAAGTCAGTACAGGGAGGGAGCAATGGAGGTGGGTGGCAATTTCAGACAGGGTGGCAAAGGCAGGCCTTCCTGTGAGGGCCCTTTGACTCAGACCTGAAGGAGATGAGGGCAGAAGCCATGTAGGTATCTGAAGGGCAGAATCTTCCTGGCTGAAGGGAAAGCTAGAGCCAAAGCTTCAAGGTGGGAGGTGCCCGCCGCGATGGAGGAACGGTACTGTGGCTGGCATGGAGTCAGGGAGGGAAGAGCAGGAGGGGACAGGTGGAGTGGGGTGGGTGGCACGGGCCAGACTCTGGCTTCTCTGAATGATGGGGGAAGCCATTGGAGTTTAAGCAGAGGGTGACATAATCTGTCCTAAATTTTAATGGGATCACTCTGGGCATAGTAAGGACAGAAGTAAGGAGACCTATCAGAGGGTACAGCTCATGATGGTGGCAGAGTTGGGAGAAATGATGGGACTTAAACTAAGGAAAGGAAAATCAGGAAGCTAAGAACATCAGAGGTAGGACTGACAAACGTGACAGTGAGGCATCAAAGATAACTCACATCTTCTCTTTTGGGTGATTGGGTGATTAAATGAGATTTTTAGGGGCCAGCCACGTGGTGTAGTGGTTAAAGTTCGGCATGTTCCACTTTGGCATCCCAGGTTTGCCTGTTTTGGATCCCAGGCGCAGACCTACACGATTCGTCAGCCATGCTGTGGCGGCAACCCGCATATAAAGTGGAGGAAGACTGGCACAGATGTTAGCTCAGGGGTAATCTTCCTCAGCAAAAGAAAAAAAAGATTTTTAAAATGTTGAGTTTGATGTGCCTATAAGACATATTCGTGAAAATGTCTCATAGACTTTTGAAAGTATAAATTGAAAGTCAAGGAGACCTAGGCTCCTGATAACAGCTTTGAAGGTAGGTAAAACCCTGAGAGCACATGAGAAGATTCCCAGGGCAGAGGTTCCTAACCTCTTTTGGGTCTCCATGAGACGCTTAGAAAAGTATGTCTATGCTCACAAAATGTTACATCAGAGTTTTCTTGGGCTTCCAAAAGAGTCTTCATAGACCTCTGCCTCTTGGGGTGCCTTCCCAAGGTAACCTACCCTGGGAAAGTGTCTGGGTTTTGGTAGGCTTTTGGGCACATCAGCTCGCCCAGCCATGGGAGAGCAGTGGGCAGAGTTTCCGACAAGCTGGCTTTTAATTAATGTTGAAATTCAGTCAAAGTTCTTTTATCTGATTATTCTTGGTTAAAATAAGAGGAGAAACCAGAGTGCTGAACCAGGATATAACCCTCTGGTGACAACCACTGGACCCAGATAAGCTCCTTGTGCCCCATGGGTTTGCAGATCTGCACTAGTTAAGACTAGCAGCCATAACAGATAAGTCCTGAAATCTCAATGGCTTAACCCAATAGAATTCTTGCTCAGTTGGCTGAGACAGAGACTCTGCTCCATAACATTATTCAAAGACTTAGACTGACAGGGGCCCTGTCTTCCTCAGATAGCTCAGAAGTTGCCTTAGGCATCAACATCCATCAGGTACATGGGGGAAGAGAGAGACATAGGGTCACTCGTGGGAGGCTTTTATGGACCTGACCTGGTAGTGATACACAGCACTTGCATCCACATCCCACTGGCCAGGACTCATACTGCAACTGGGCTGGGAAATGTAGTCTGGCTGTATGCCCAATATATAAAGGAAGCATTTGGTGAACAATTAGCTGGTTTGGGATGCACAAGGGCATGGGCAGACCAGACTGACATTCCCTGGCTCCCTGAGAGCCCATCCTTCCTGCCCTGGGCTCTGCAGGGTGCTTCAGATATCCCACCTCCATCTGCTGGGCAGAGTCCCCTCACATACCACCCCAGCTCATCTCCTCTGAGTCTCCTCTGCCCCTCACCAAGAACCCTGAGCCCCAACCACACTCTCTTTTCCCTAAAGGAGGCAGGCTCATCCGTACCCTTGCCTTTGCCTTCACTGAACCTTCTGCCTGGAATGCTGGGCCCTTTCTTAGCCTCTCAAATTCCTACTCTTCCCTGAAGCTGCCTTCATTACCCATCAGAGTTATTCCTGAGTCATGTTTTTTTGGGCACTATAACTGAAATCAGTTCTCGGAAGTCTAGAAGAAATTATTGGAAGTATGCAGGGTGACTCACAGGTGGCAAGGGACAGCCAGAGAACCAGGTTGGGAAGGGGCAGGAACCCGGAAGCTTGGGGAAGGGGTGTGGTCCAGGCAGCAGACTCCTCAGTAGATAAGCAGCTACTCACTCTGTGCCCAGAACTATCTGGCTGATCTCTAGCTGTTTCTCCTGGTGTGCAATCAGTCTGCTAAAGATCAAAATCCCTGAGAGAAAATTCAGTGGGTCCTATGTTTGTCAGGAATCTCAAACAAAAGGTGTTCAAGGTCTGAACTTAACAACCTTCCAAATTGGTTTTGCTCCCACTTTCCCCATCTCAACCAGTAGTATCATCCTCCAGCCACTAACCCATTCCCTCTTTCTCCCTCACTTCCCACATTACCAAGCCCTGTCAACTCTTCTAAATGGCTTGACTCTGTGTACTTCCCTCCTCCATGACCACCACCTCCCTGTCCACACCTCCATCATCACACACCCAAACAACAGCAATAGCCTGCTCCATTGCTGTCCTCCATCTAGCAGCCAGAGATACCTCTTCACCATGTCATTCCTCTGCTTATCACCCTTCTAAGGTGCCCCTCACCCTCTAAATGAAGACTGAGCCCCTTGGACTGGCCTGTTGAGGTGAGAGGACCAGAGCTTTATGTGCAGCCCCTCTAGAGTTGAGCACCTCCCTCACCTGTCCTTGCTTGGTAATTTGTGCTTCCACTGCTTGAGGCCAGCAGCACCTGGCAGACCTGGCCTGGACCAGCGTTCACACTTCCCAGCTCAGCACTTGGGCCCTTACCTCATCTTCCTGAAACTCTGCTTCCTCCCCTGTAAGACAGATGTAATCATGTCAGCAGCGCATGGTGGTTGTGAAGGCTGCAAATATTGGGGCACTTGGCTACTCATTCAACAAATGGTTAATAGCACCTGCTATTAACCATTAACAAGTGTTGTCCTGCACACTGGGGACACAAGGGTCAAACAGACAGACAGGGCCCTCTGTGTATGGCCTTACGCCCATGGAGCCAAGGAGAGGAACAAAACTGTCACAACTGGAGGTGCCCTCTCATCTCAGCCCTATTCTCCCACAATTTAGGCCCCTCCTCAACCCAGGCCCTCGGCCTATCAGAGACCACAGGCCCACGTGCGGACCAGCAGGGGGCAGGTGCGGTCACGTGCTTTCAGCCCGCCCCTTCCGCTCCACAAGCCTAGCCAATGAGGGCGAGAGGCCAGCTCCGGGGGCGGGTCTGGTAACGGAAAGGGGCGGGGCGTCCATCTGACCAGCCGCCTCCTCACGCCACCCGGCGGGGGCGGGGGGCGGCCCCGGAGCAGGACACGGTGCAGGCAGAGTAGGAGGTGAGCTCCCTGCGCCCCTGCCCGGGGAGACAGCGTCCCAGGGCTGCACCCACCGCCTCACCCTAGACCCCTCACTCCGCTTCCTCACCTCTCACTCCGACCGCTCACCCTGGTCCCCTCACCCCGCACACCCCAGCCCTCACCCCGGTCCCGTCACCCCGCACTCCCCACCCCTCACCCCGGTCCCGTCACCCCGCACACCCCACCCCTCACCCCGGTCCC